TGTAAATCTCTGATTATTTTCTTAGATTTCTGTTACTAGAAAAAGTGGATCAAAGAATCAGACACGTTTAGGGTTTGGGGTACACACTGCCAAACTGCCTTCCTGAACGCTGGGCCCACGGCTCCTGACAACACCAGCCAACGTCCAGTGTGGGGCGAGGTACCTCAAATATATTTATTAACTTGCCAGATAAATTTCTGCCTCTTATTAGACATACTATAGCTAATTTCTGAAGAGTTTTAAAGTTATAGGTTAAGAAACAAAACAAAAAGCCCAAAACTAGGAGGACATTCACGTCCAGATGAGCCCAGTTACCGTGGAGGTTCTGTCATGTTAAGGTTTATGAGGATTTTAAAAATTAAGACACCAAAGCACACTTAAGTAATCAGCCCAAGATAACACAGTCAGTAAAGGGCAGAGCCTGGTCCCGAGGCGCATTATTCTAACACTGGAGTCCAGACTTCCGCTGAGCGGGGAAAATGTGTGCCCAATCTCTCATCAGACCTAAAAAGCTTCCAGAGCATTCTCTGGGATACGCTCATTGTCCAGAGACTGCTTTTGGTAACCTCAGATTACAAGGAGCAATTTTATCTTTGAAAAAGGTAGTATGAAAACTATGGAGACACATTTCTAGAATATGCTAAAACAGAAGTGAACTAACTTGTCCAAGCTCATTCAGTGTCTTCTGGCTGTGTTGGGGCTGGACCCAGGGTCTGACTCCTTGCTGCCTCCGACCTGGTAGCACACGGTCCCCCTGGGCAATGGAGGGCATCTCTCCATTGGCAGGCAAAACACAGCTGGGTTGGGGGCTGGAGGTCAGCCAGCTAGACGTGAGGAGGTGGTGGCCCGGGAGCCCTTGCTCTTGGAGCTTAAAGCCAAGCTGGACACCCGGAGGCCACAGTCGGCGTAAGGGGGCTTAGCACTGGGTGTTAGTGGGCTGGTGGGCACCTTCCCGGGGGAAGACCTTCCAGCCCACTGGGCCACTTTCCAGTCAGAAGCCCAAGAAGGAAGGAGCCGGGAGTTCTTGACTAGGGAGAGGACAGAGGCAGGGGCCCGGCGGGCTGGCCGGTGGGGAGGGGATTCTGCACTGAATGGAAGGCTGGACCAGATAACCTCTGGAGCCCTTCCCACTCCCCAGTCTCTGATTTGTATGTCTAGGGGTAGAGGAGAGAGCAGTCCTGGGGCTGAAAGAGTTGATTTAGGGTCCCGCCCCAGTCACCGTATAGCCCTCATCTTGGGCAAATAATTTCACCTGTCAGTACAAGGCACAATGCCTGACGCAAAGAAAGCTTTGTAAATGTTTGCTAAATGAATGAATGAGCAAAAGAATGGGTGGATGGATTTAGGTCTCCCAAATCTGAAGGAATACTGGTGACCACTGGACTCTCACAGGGCCCTTTGCATTTGAATGGGGCAACGGAAAGCATATTGAACTTCTTAAGAGAAAAGTGATTCCTCCAACCCAAAGAGATTCTTACACCTTCCTTCACTGACAGTGGGTAGAATTCCACGTTACTGGGGCTGGACGCAGACTTCAGAGTGGCAAGTTGGGATTTCATTAGCATTTCATTAATTCCCAGGCCGCCGCACCCCAGCGGCCGGTCCCTCCTCCTCCCCCGCCCCGTAGATGCCTAGGTCTAATGGATTGTTCTTGCTGCTGTCCAGATTAGATAGCGGCCCTCCGTTACCAAGGCTGCAGCAAAACCCAGCGGCCACCAGGAGGGGAGCTTTCCGAGCAGCCCCCGGGGAGGGCTGGGATCTCAGGGCGCCCTGACCGGTCGGCGGGGCTCTCAGAGAGCCTGAGAGGGGGCTTCCTCGACCTCGGACCCTTCCCAACCCTCCCGAGGCGCAGGTCTCCCCACTCCCGCAGACTTGATGAGGCAGGCACCCCGAGAGGTGGGCAGCGCTAGGACAGTAACTCTCTGATCTGCTTGTCAAGCTCCAGAGGCCAAGGGTGCTGGGAGGCGCTCCCTCCCTAACATCCGACCCTTGCTTTGCTACCTCCCAGGCGTCGTTCAGAACTTGCTTAATTTTTGCTGTTCTTGACTTATGGTAGATGAATTAGAGCCCATTTTCTGAATTAGAGCCCTCCCTTCTGAATTCCCCATCGTCAAATTTTTACCTTTTAATAATCTTGTTTTTTAAGGGCCGGGGATTTAGCTCAGTGGTTTCACCGCCTGCTGCGCAAGTGCAAGGACCCCAGTTCGATCCCCGTACCAAAAAAAAAAAAATCTTGTTTTTTAAAGGGAAAGTTTTATTAGCATTTTAAAGGGTTCTTTTTAAATTTTCCTTAGGGACTAATTTTTTGCCTCCAGTCGTTTTCTGAAAGCAAAAGTCCTCTGCGATTTTATCAACAGCATTACATAAAAATTCTTCTGTATGCTCTAACAACAAATTTTATATAAAACAAATAATAAGCACTTCAAAGTATTATCTATGTGGAAAGACTAATTGTCTTATCATTAAGATAGAACTACTGTGATCTAATAGAAAGCAAATAAAATCTTAGCTGGTGAACAAGGAAAAGTTATTTATAGCATATCAATTTCCTGTTAAGTCTTTGGAAAGTCATAATATATAGTGTGGCAGGATAAATCATCTGGCTCAGTTTTATATGTTTCTACATTTAAAATCTCACGATTTTTTGTTTTGTTTTGTTTTCTTGAGACAGGGTCTTGCTATGTAATTCAGGCTGGCCTCGAATTCATAGGACTCCTCCTGCCTCAGCCTCACAAGTGCTGGGATTACAGCCCTGCACCACCATACCCGGCCCCCACGATTCTGAATCAGTCTTAATAGGCATTCATCTATCCCTTGGAAAATTATCATGTGATATTTATTTAGAGGTGGAAAGGTAAAAATTTCCTAAGGGCAAACAAAATAATTACTATGTAGTTTACTATTCAGAAATTAAAATAATCCACCCATTGGAAGGCTTTTGATTCATTGAATAAAACAACCTTACTGAATAATTTGTGTATGTGAGTATTATACCCGAATTAATAAAACGAATTTATTACGAAGGCCAAGAGCCCCGGGTTGGAATGGGAAATGGCAAAGCCAGGGAGGAAGTGGAACATCCTACATTCAGTAACCTGCCAAGTACAGGAGCAAATAGGGTCACAGGTAGGAAAGAACATGTTAGATGAATCCAGAACGAGGGAAGGGGGAGGATTTTGATTAATCGAGAGAGAGAGAGAGAGAGAGAGAGAGAGAGAGAGAGAGAGAGAGAGAGAGAGAGAGAGGAGAGAACAAGGGAAGTTGACAAGAAAATGCTAAACGAATGAGGACGGTCCGTGGAGAAACCCTTCTCAGAGCCGGCCCGGCGCGGTGCTGCATTGGCCTGGCTGCCGAGGCGGTAGAAGAGTCCGCGGGAGTTTTCCTGAGACCGAGTTCTGTGAGATGCGCGACTTGGGGATTCAGGTCGAGCACGGACTAAAGGACGGCACCTTCCCCGGCAGCCCGGCGCCCCTGAACTCGCGCGGGCCGAGCCGGCCGGGCGGAAAAGCCTCGCCCGGCTCAGTTTCGGGGCCACCGATCTGCTCCTTCGAGGCTGGGGTGCCAGGCACCCCTCGGGGTCCCCCAAATCCCGGCTGAGCAGAGAGAAGAGGGGACGGAGTCCGCCTGGGTGCAGCCCGCTGGCCTCCGGTGCGGGGCGGGGTCGGAGGGGCGGTTCGGCCTGCCGGGGGCACAGCGGCGTCTCCGGTCCTTGCTGGGGGCCTTCAACCCGAAGCGCAGGCAGCCACGCTCCGCCAGGGTCCCGCGAGCGCGCAGCCCGCTCGCCTCCTCGTGGCGGGGGGCGCCGAGTCCCCGAGTCCCCGAGGTGAGGGTGGGGCCCGAGCACAGGACCCCGGGCCGGTTCCGAGCGGGGCCGGGCGGGGCCCAGGACCACGGACCGGCGCCCGCCTGTGCGGGGCCTGGGCTTCCGGGCTCCCTGGTTGCGCACCGGGAGCTCGGAGCCGCCCAGGTCCCGGGGCCGCGACCCCGGAGACCGGGCGCGACGTCCCCGCGAGGTGACCCCGGCCCACGTGGCGCCAGCGCTGCTGACGCGCATTCCGGCCTTCGGCCAGGGCCTCGCCCGCCCGGCCCGCGCCACCACCTCGTGGCCGGCTGCCGCTCGGCTTCCACGACAGATCGCCGAGGTCGGACACGGGCGGCGGCGTCTCCAGGCCCTGTCCCGGCGGCTGGGAGCGCGGTGCCGGCGGGGACACGGCGCGCACGACCCGGGCCGATCACTTCTCCTCGCCACACGGGAACTAGGGAAACGAGTCTGCAACCACCAGGCGCCACGCGAAAGGGACCCGCACTGGTGGCTAACTCAGTCCTCCTCCTAATTTTTCTCACTTGGGAACGGCTCCCGTCTCGGTCGGAGCGCGGAGGCTTCGCGTGCGCCCCTTCGTCGGGGTCCCTACCTCCCCGTTCCCTCCACCCACCCCCCTACCCTTCTGCGGACTCCACGGCTCGGTGGGGCATTTTGGAGGCTGCGCCCCACTTCCTGGGTGGCCCGGTGGGGACCCCCCAGGCCGCGCCCCGCCTCCGGGCCGGGCTCGGAGCCCCCTCCTCCTTTCCTTTCATGTCGCCGACAGCTTCCTCGCAACCTTGCCGGGCTGACGCCGCCGCGTTTATTGACCTTAGATGGCTCGGGGGCTTTATCAGAGCCAAGGGGCGCCCCGCGGAGTCTGCACCTCCCTGAAGCGCGGCGGGAGCCCCTTTTAAGCTTTTCTGGAAAGTTCCTCTTCCTTTCCCATCCCGGACTGGATCCGGGGACCTACCGAAAGGACATCTGAATGCCCACGACAGGGAACAGCCCCGACCGGGCCTAAACAAAGGGACGCAGACAGTTGCCTGCAGCGCGTTTATCTAGATAATTCAGGTGAAAGTGCCCCCCCAATTATTCGGATAATTGCCTCGAATCTCCACCTCCAGTTGTGTTTACACAATCGGAGATTGATGGCTTGGATTTCTTTCGGGGTGCTGCCCCCAGCCCCGAGCCCCCTCCTCTGTTCTGAAACATCCCTGCACTTCACACGCTCGAACTGCAATTTTCCTTTCTGTAAATCACTCCGCAAATATAACCAGGCATTAGAAAGCCATTGAAAATAGGTATTTTATTGGGCTGGAGGAACCGAACAGGGATAAAGAGCCCCTCAGTAACATTTCCTCAGTACCAAGCACAGAAAATTGCCCATGAGACTTTCCGCCTTCCAAGATCTCTTTCGGAGACAAACTTTTAGACGAAAAAGGGGGCACTGGTGGGTGGCAAAGTCTCTGGTTAAAATGAACTTTGCAAACAAACAAGTTCATCGCGTGTGACTTCTGAGGATCTTTTACTCAAGGCGGGACATCAAAATAAGACCAGCAGAAACAGAACATTTACAATTATGACTATTTATAAAAAAAAGCCAATCCAACTTTGAGATCCTAAATCATAGCCTTCTAACAGCCTTCCACAGTAGGTTTTCTTTCCATGCAGACGGACATTTTCCTGATTTCCACCAGCTAAAACCCTTTGAATTTCCTTTAATTTTGGAGAATATAAGGAGCGAGAATATCAGCCCTGGGGGAAAAATGAACCAGGATCAGGAATCCAGGGAGCCCAGAAAGAAGTGGGAGTTTAGAGTAAGAGTTAGAATCCACCCAGCTGGAAGTCCCGGGCTGGGCTGCTGGAGAAGGAAAGAGACTCACAGGGAACCATTTTTCTTTCTCTGCCAGGCAGAGCTAATATTTGTAACCACAGCACTGAGACAGAGACTTTACCCCCAATCCCACCCAATGCCACAGGAGCCACTGCTGGGTCCTCCAGGGGCTAAAGAGTTTAAAATGTCATTGTTCGTTTTCAACCTCTGAGTGCGGGCAGGCTGGCTGGGAGGCTGCAGACTCCAGGAGCTGGAGCTGCCTGGCAGTGTTTCCCAACAGTGAGGAGCTGAGCCTCCTCATTCTCTGCCCAGGCCACCCCAAAACTGCCCTTGGCCCTACCTTGGTGCCTCCTTTTCTTTTGGACTCAATCCTTTCCTCTGCTACAAATACAATTCAAAGTTCAGTTGTTGCTCACGCTTGGCTTTAGAGGAAGGAGAGGTGGAACTGGACTCATCTGCAAAAGTGTATTCAGCCAAAAGCATATTCAACCCAAAGCATAGGCAGCCGAGTTCTTCCAAACACGAAGTGGGCTACAGTACATCTAGGAGACCCACCTCCACCCCTGCCCGCCGTCGCATGCCTGGCTCCAGAATAAATGAAAATTAAACTTCACACTGTGCCTGGCTGGCCCTTGCTTGGCCGGCCCTTGCTTGGCCAGCGAATAGGTAAGGAAAAGTCTCAGATCCGATAAGAGCTTTTCACTAACTAATGAAGGCCATGAAAACACAGGCCACCGAGCCAGCTGTGATGGGGCTGGGAGGGTTCACAGGAGCTTTCCAGTGGGGTTCTTGAGAACTTAGGTCCCTGTGGCCACACCGCCCTGAATGCCCGAGCTCGTTTTAAGAGGACCCTAGAAAAGCAGTGCAACTTGGGTTTGGTCAAATCTGCTTGGTTTCTGGTGTGGTGCATATTTTTTCAGCTAGCTTTTCCTTAACAGACCAACCGTCCCATCCATTTCTGACTGCTGCAGTGGGCCGCTGAACAAGGAACGGAAGAAACTAAAATACTAAGCAATGCCAGAAAGAGAAAGAGAGAAAGGAAGCAGAGAGGAAGTGGCTGAAGCCGTGCCCCTGTGGCTCGGCAGTGAGCAAGCTTGCCCTCTTGCCCCTCTGCCAAGGCCCAGGCCTCCCATGGGTCCTCTTTGCTGGCCTGGCACTGGTGAGGCCTTTCCCTCCCCTCCTTCCCCTTCATCTCTCTCCTCATACCCCAGATCCTGGAGTTTCCTGGGGCCTTCCATTCCCTGTCTCCCATGGCTCTTCCTAACCTCCCTGGCAGCCGGGCCACCTGGAGGGCCAGGAGGGGACTCACCCACAATGACAGCAGTGTCCCTGTACACCTCAGGCCGAGCCTGGCGGAGCAAAGCCTGGCGGAGCAAACTCTCAGGGGCAGTCCGGCTGTGGGCCTGCCGTTCTTGGCTGTCCTTAGCCCGTGGGAGGGAGACACTGTGAGCCCTGTCTTCCAGCTCCCTCCCAGCAACCAGCTTCCCTCCAGAATTAGATAACAGGAAAAATAGATAAGGGAAGTGGTTCATTAATTCGGCAAGCCCTGTGCTTGGGTTTTTCTTTTTGGTATGTGAAGAAGGGGAAGGAAGCCCTGCTAGGGAATGAAGCCCTGACCAGGCATTCTAAAAAAGTCAGAGTTCAGGAGGTTCCTGAGGGAGCTGCCTCTCTAGGTCTCAGGCTCAGGAGGACCTCAGGGGCCAGGAATCAGCACTCACAGGGACAAGTGCTCGATCCACACCGGTCCTGCCTTCCACCAGCTGGGAGGGCTGCTTTGCAGTATTTGCTCATGTTGTACAGTTGGGTAGATATAGCAGCAGCAAGAAATAATAGGTTTTGTACAGCACCATTCATTAGCATTCCAGGGTTCCTTCCAACAGGGGCAGGTAGACAGATTATACATTATCACCCCGAGTCAGGCAACTGAGCCGAGAAAAGTTAGGAACATGCCACACAGGTCAAGGTGCACAGCAAGGAAGAGGCAGAGGCACACTGGGTTTCAGACCATTGAGCTCTAGTCCAGTCATAAAGAAGCCCATGGAGTCTTACAATACGAAGGGACCTGAGAATTCCAAACTCCACACAAAGCAAGAATCCCCTGCTGGATGACTGCACTGTTTGAATGCTTCTGAGATGGGGAGCTCATTCTCTACACGCCAGGGATGTGCAGCCCTGCTGGCCCCCAGATGAGCCAGAATAGTAGGCCCGGGTACACTGAAAGGCACCAGGGTGAAAGCTGCAGTGTGATTTGAGGAAGCAGGCAAACAGATCTCTCTTGACAGGCTGGCTGCTAGGAGTCCCCTCCTCTCGTGCCTGGGTTTGTTTAGGGTAGGTTCCTTATGCAGTCAGGGCAAGAAGAATAAACACAATGCTTTTCTCCTTTGATGTATTTACCAGCTCCTAGCCTTCCAGCAATCTCTTTGAGGAAAGGAGAGACCAGTTATTACCTCCAAATCCTGAGCAGGAACCCAGAAGAGGAAAGGCAAGGGAACTCCTAGACACCAAAAAGCAGATGTGCTGGGGAAGCAATGAGAGAGGTGAAGAAGACCTGGAAGAAAAAGAGAAAATATAAGAAGAACATGCCAACTCTCCCTTCCGAGAGTATTCAGTTATGGAGATCTCCCTCGTGATGGATAAGGTGTCCACTTTGCTCTGCCACAGGAAGGTTTTCTGGACAACTTGCGCAGCGCCAGCTCCTTCACATTTCTGAAGACTGAGCCCCCAGGATGAGGATAGGGTGCAGATGCAGATGCTGGGTGGCTGGGTGACATCTCTGTCCAACACCCTGCCATTGTCACCAGGGGAGCTTCTTGCTGACGTGGAGGTTCCTTTTATGGAGTTGTTGTCATTGCAAAATGTGCAAAGCACAGACTTTACCATATTAACCATTTAAAGACATACAGTTCAGTGGCATTAGACACTGTACATTCACGCTGTGCAACCATCTTTGCCGTCCACCTGCAGGATTCCTCTCATCCTCCTACCTGAAACTCTGTGCCCATTAAACACTAATTCTTCTCTCCTCTTCTCTTCCTGGTGCCTGGCAAGCACTGTACCCCACCACAACCAATGGAACCCAGCACCCCCTGCATGTAGCTTAACCCTCTAGTTGCATTCCAACCCCACCTCTGTCTCAGTTTCTGTGTCTATAAATTTGATGCTCTAGGTACCTCTTATTGGAATCATACAGAATTTGCCCTTCTGAGCCCGGTTTAAGAGAGATGATAATAAAAGGGATGTGGCTCAGTGGTGCCATGCCTGCCTGGTAAGCACAAGGTCCTCAGTTTGATCTCCAGCACCGGAAAAAAAAGAGAGATATAAAGATATATTGCCAGTAATCCCCTCCAAAATACTTGTCCTTGCTTCAAATATACATAATGCCCGGATGTGGTGGTACATACCTGTAATCCCAGCACTTGGGAGGCTGGGGCAGGAGGATCGTCAGGAGTTCAAGACCAGCCTGAACTGCATGGTGAGACCCTGTCTCCACAAAACAAAACAAAATAAAAACCCCCAATACACACAATGGATATGTGTGTGCAAGGGATGGGCTAACCAATCATTCTTGCCACTTTCTGAAGCAGTTCTGGAAGTCCTCTTTCGTGTCGTTAGTTGCACTATTGTGGCTCCTTAATGTGCTGAGTTGAATAAAAACATTTCCCTTTCATGGTGATTTTGACTTTGGAGAAGAACCAGAAGTCGCATAGTGCTAGGTCCTATGAATACGGCAGATGAGGACACACAGTGTCATGCTTTTTGTGCCTGCCTTTTCATTGGATGACACTCAGAAGTGGTGTTCACTGTATTTTTATCACAGCTTATAAAGACACTCATGAAAGAGGACTTACAGAGCTGCTTCAGAACATGGCCAGAGCAATGGGATATATGTGTTTGGAGTGAGGGGGAGCATTTTGAGGGAGATTAATGGCAGTGTGTCTTTTACTGTAATACATTTAAAAAAATTAAACATTCATCTTATACTTTGATCACCCTTTGTATTTCACTTAGCACACATCCTCATTGTCCATCCGTGTTGTAGTACAGGTCAGAATTCCCTTTCTTTTTAGCTGAATGATATCCATGCATGTGTAGTCCACGTTTGTTTATCCATTCACTTGTGAATAGGCATGGGGGTTGCTGTCCCCTTTTGACTGTGGGAATAATGCCGCTGTGAACATGGGTGTATAGATACCGGTTCCGGCTCTGGCTTTCAATTCTTTTGGCCATACCCCTGGAGCGGCAGTTGCTGCATCATATGGTAATTCTAGATATGATCATTTGGGTGACTGCTATGTTTTCTACACCTTGTCTCCAACTTGCTATGAAGCAAGTACTGAAAGCAGCGGCCTCCACTTATCCTATTGGAGTCATATTGAGGGCAGATTGTAAAAGACAACAGTTTTGCTGTAGGGAAAGATCAGAACATGAAGGTTCCTTGAGAATTTCACTGGAGCAGATCAGAAGGGACTTTGGAATCCTAGGGCAGTAGCAAGAGGACCTACTCTTGACTCACAGTCCTGATGTCTCCTTGCCTCAGGTCTCTACATGTGACCACACGAATCTGGAGTCCTCAAGGCATATGGAGCTCCAAGATCCAGGAAAAAACACAACTCATAGAGAACACACTTTTGTGTTCCAAAGTTAAAAACAATGGTTTTCTAGCATTAATGGCATTTGGTGCATTTCCAATTCTCTCTACATTTACGAGTTATTTTGTGAGGTAGAAAGGAGCCTGTTTTTGTCCCTTAAGATCCAAACTTTCCAGAGGTGTTGTCTGTTTGGGACCCTGAAACTCCACGAATTTCAGGCCTAGCTTGGGCCCTGCTGATCCAGCTGGCCACTGGGGCACTTGGGAGGGTGGAGCTCAAAGGTCCTCACGGGTGATCCAGGGTGTTGGGGGGTTCTGTGATGGGGCACTGAGGGCACAGGGTGAGGAAGGCTGCTGGTGACTCTGTGCCTGTGTACAGGAAAGGCCGGTTGTCTCCTGTGCTTCTTGCTTGTCCGGCTGGCTCTGAGGGTCAACCCAGGGTGAGGATGGTGGTGATGTAGTTATGGTCACACCAGCCAGAGCTCTGACAGTCACTCGAAATCCACACCTGCAAAAGGGCCAAAGAGAATTTCCGAGGAAACGGTTTAAGGCCTTCTCTTCCTGTTTTTTAAATGCTCCCACTGTTCTACATGTGAGTCCTTTGCCAGATACATGGCTTGCAAGTATTCTCTCCGCATCTGTACATTGTCTTTATTTTCTTGTTGTTAGTCCTGGAAATTGAACCCAGGACCTTATGCTGCAAGGGCTGTACTACTGAGCCACATCTCTGTAGGGTCTCACTAAGTTGTCCAGGCTGGTCAGAACTGACAATCCTCCTGCCTCAGCTTTCCAAGTAGCTGGGATTACAAGTGTGTGTCACCATGGCCAGTGTCTTTTCCTCTTAAGAGTCTCTTTCACAGAACAGAATTTTTAAAGTTTTATGAAGCTCAGTTTGTTGATTTTTTTCTATTATGGTTTTACTTTTATTTTCATGTCTAAGCAGTCTTTGCCAAACTCTAGGTTGTGAAGATTTTCTGCTAAAAGTTTTATACCTCTGCACTTTATATTTAAACCTACTATCCATTTTGAGTTAGTTTCATATGAAGTGTAAATTTAGATCAAAGTTTATCTATTTAGCCTATGCATGTCCTATTGCTCCAGCACTATTTGTCCAACAGACAAATTGAATGGCTTTTGCAATTGAATGGTTATTTGCATGTGGGTCTCTTTTCTAGGTTTGCTATTCCATTCCTTTGATCTATGTATCTCTCTCTATACTATTGCTACACAGCCTTGATTACTATAGTGATAGAATCTAACTTTATTATGCTTTTCCAAAATTGTTTTAGCTATTATAGTTCTTTTGCCTTTCTATATAAATTTTAGAATAATCTTGATTGTATCTTCAAAAATTTCTTGCTGGAATTTTTGCATGAATTGCACTGAACCTAAATATGAATTCTGGGGAGAATTGACATTGTCATGTCAAATTTTCCCATCCACGAACACAGTATGTCCTTGCATTTAATTAAATCCTCTTTGCAGTCTTTCACTAGAGTTTTATACTTTCCTACATGCAAGTTTTATACATGTTTTGATTTATACTTAAGAATCTAAGTTTTAAGAAATTATATGTAATATTGTAATTTTAATTTCGTTTTCTACATATTCATTACTAGGATATAAAAACATAATTTAGTTTTGCCTATTGATCTGTTTCCTGCAATCTTACGGATCTCATTTATTAGATCTAGGAGTGTTTTTGTAGATCCTTTGGGGTTTTCTAGGTAGTCATGTTATCTTTTATTTATTCCTTTTTAAAATCTGCATTCTTGTATTGGTATTATTTTTAACTTGTTTTGTTGTTCTATCTGGGCCTTCTAGTTCTCTATTGAATAGAACTAAATGAGAATGGAAATCCATATTTTCTCAGTTTGGGGGAGAGCATTCAGCCTTTCACCATTAAATATAATTTTAACTGTGATTTTTTTGTGAATGTCCTTTGTTAAGTTGAGAAAGTTGCCTCTATTCCCACTTTCAGAATTTTTATATGAGTGGTTATTAAATATTTTCACACTTTTTTCTGTACCAACTGATAGGACCATATGATTTATCTTCCTTAGCCTGTTAATGTGGTGGATCACATCAATTGATTTTTCAATGTGGAACATGTTCTGCAAGCCTGGAAATAACTCCTGCTGTCCATGATATATTATTCTGCGTATTTATTGCAGCATTCGATTTGCTAATATTTTGTTAAGGATTTGCATCTATGTAAGTAAGGGATATAGGGCTGTAGTGCTCTATTTGTGTATTAGTCTGGTGTTAGTTCTTCTGTAAACATTTGGTGGAATTCTCCATTAACATTATTTAGCCGTGGAAATTTCTTTCTGTGGAGTTTTAATTTCAAGTTCAATTTTCTTAAGAGTTGTAGGGCTGCGGATTGGCTTCTGTGATCTACAAAGGCTCCACTGGTAACTCTCAATCTCAATAACAAGGTTGTGAAGATGAGAAAAGAAGTGAAGAGAATACAAGTTTTGGTCACCAGAAAACTTGTCAGGAGTGTTGGCAGGCTTAAGTCAAAAAAAGGGTACTGAAGATGCACTGTTAAAAAATCAAAGATGGGGGCCGGGGATTTAGCTCAGTGGTTTCGCTGCCTGCTGGCAAGCGCAAGAACCCGAGTTCAATCCCCAGTACCAAAACCAAAACAAAAACAAAAACAAAAAAACTCTAAATTCTTTTTACGCTTCCTTCCTTTCCTCCCCCCGCCCCCGCCTCAGTGTTGTTTTCCTATCCCTGCTCACCCCCACAGAGGTGCTCAGCATCTGTCTCTTCTCCAAGTATCTGAGTGTTGCTAATTTCAACCTTTTCCTTTTGATTGCCCAACCTAGAAGTAATACCTGCCCCTGTAGTTTCTACCTTCATGATACCACAGTGCTATCTTGCTGCTTTTTTAGACTTTAATACCTACTTAACAATTCTGTTTATTAAATTATCTTGTGAGAATGACTGATGTATTTATGTCGCCTGACAGTCCCTGGCTTGTATACAAACTCTGAGTTCAATATGGTGGCTGGTTGTAAAATATGTACCTTAAAAAATTAGCTTTCCTACCAATAATAACTAGTCAAAAAACATGACCCAATTTTGCTCCGACTGGATGCCCTGGACAGGGAGGACACTGCAAGTGTTTAGGGATGAAGGAGCAGGTTGTGTGTTCATGGGGGTGGTTTGTGAGTGGGAGGAAGGTTCCTATGCAGGGTTGCACAACTTCAGGAAAGCATTCTGTTCCAAAGTTTTGGATGAGACATTCTCAGAACCCAGGGCTGAAAGGAAGTGAATATGTGGCAGAGCCGGAGGTTGAGCTGGATCAGGAAGGACGGGGGCCTCCTAGGAACGAGATCCACACCCACAATGCCCTCTCCACCCACTACCCCGTAACTCTGGTTTTATTATTTGTTCTGTCAAGTCACTCACGTGTCCTGACTCAGGGATGTCTCAGAGCCTCCCTTCATTGAAGTGACCTGTAACTAAACCAGAGGTGGCTGAGCCCAGGAGGCCAACAACCTGAGAGGCTGGGCACAGGAGCCAGGCTGAGTCAGTGTCTCCTGGGAGCAAAGTCTCCCTGCACAGGGAGCGTGAACCCTGCTCTCGCCTCTCAGGGCACGTTTCCTGGTGGCTCCGTGGGAAGCGTGTCCACCCCGCTTCAGTGGCCACGGTCATGGTCACAGCACAGTCTGTTCCTGTTTGCTGAGGAGTGATACCTGCGAACGTCTACCGCCACCCTGCTTAAGTTAACATGCACACAGGAACAACCCTGAGGGCCACGTTTGTACCATCGGAAGGCCTGGATAGACCGCAGATTTAAAGCTCATGACCCTGGGAGGATGGGGTGGGGTGAGGAGTAAGAGTTGGGGTGGTTTTATTTCTCACATTTTATACACCTTTTTTTTCTTTTCTGAGGCAGGGTCTCACTGTGTAGTTCAGGGACCTTGAACTCACTATGTAACCCAGGCTGGCCTGGGACTCTCAGTGATCCTCCTGCCTCAGCTCACCAACTGCTGGGATAACAAGCAAACCCACCACTACAGTTTCTATACCTCTGTATTGCTTACAAAAAAAAGTTTACGAAGAGAATGTACTATTTGTTAACAGACCATTAACCAAGCAATAACAGAAACTTTTAAATTCAACTCTCTGCCAGACAACCATTTTCATTCATTGTGAAACCCAAACGCCTCCTTACCCTTTGGGGGGTGCCACCCCATGACCCCCGAGGGTACCTGAAGCTACAGAGAGCACTGAACACTACACAGACCGGGGCCCTTTCCATACTTACCTCCGATAAAGTTTAAGTTCCTATCAGGGATCAACAGTAATAACGAATAATACAGCGGAGCGCTTCCGACAGGCACTGGGACAGGGGCCCCGAACGCGGCTCTCAGTCCCTACTGTGTGCTCACCCTGCCCTCGCTCGCGCTGCTGCTGCTGCGCGGTGACACTGGGCTGTGCGGGAGACGCGGGCCGCCACGTCCGCTCGCTGGCTCGCACTGAGCCCCGGAGCTGAGCCCAGGGCAGCCCCCCAGCACACACAGGCCTCGCGCCCTTGGAGGATGCATTCGGATGGCGTAGGAGTCATCGTGCGGCTCAAAAAGGCTGGGAATTTAAAATCGAGGGGCTGTTGAGTCCTGCATTTCCCTCTTAACCTGAGCGCAGCCTGCCACAGGTCACCGGAAGTGCAGCGGGCAGTGGCCCGGGTGGTGAGCGCGCTGAGGCCACGGCGCATGCGCTGTTGTGTATTCCGCGCTGCGGCCTAGGGCCCAGTCATGGCTGTGTCTCTGAGTGGCTGAAAAAGCCTTTCCGTCTGGCTTTTCAGGCTGGAAGGGCAGACTCTCCTCCCCTGGCTCTGACCTAACCAGAGGGGGAAGGGAAGGGGTGGTTGGTTTATCTTGGGCAAGCTCCTTTTTCTTTTTTTTTTTTCCTTTGGGCCTCATTTTTTTTCCAATCTGGAAAATGAGGATCTCCCTTGGGTCCCTTCCAGTTATCATCTGCTACCTTCACGAAGCACATCATAAATAAGGATCATGTGGACATAATTCTTTGTAAATCTTTATTTAATCCACCAGCCTTCCTGTCTTAAGATCACTTGCCGTAGCGCAGGTCATTTATCCTCATGACAGATGCGTGGCGGTGCGTATCATTTTCCCGCTCCTCGATGGAGAAACTGAGTCCAGAGGTGTGGGATGATTTGGCACAGTTTTGGCTTCTTATCAAGACAGCCCTGGGTTTCAGCCTCCCCGCGTTGGGGCTGATGGATAGCAGACGAGCGCTGGCTGGAGGAGACACCAGCAGGCAGCTCCGGTCTGATCAGGAAATAGATCCATCACTTTCCACTGCCCCAGACTGGGGCTCCAGGACACGTTCGTGAGCGGACCTTTGGAGCCCACACACACCAGCGTGCACACGCAGCACGACAATGTGGTCACACCTCAGGCTCAGATAAAGCCCAAGGGAGCCTGCAAAAGGATCTGTAGATAAAAAGTCCGGTATCTGGGCAGGTAACACCCAATTACAACAGAGTAGTGTTGACTTACACTTTTCCTTATCAGGGGAATCAGGTATTCGTGTAAATCAGAAAAAGGCTTGATGGATGCCAGTTCATTGGTGTCTCCAGCCAACGGACAGGTTTGGTTAAACAAAATATATATTCTCCTTATCTCTAGTGGCGACTATCGCTGCAACTCCCGTCTCCCCTCTCCTCCTCTGAGCTCTATAAAGACGAGGGCCTTATCTGAGTTTGTAAGAGCCTCATGTCTCTCAGAGGCTGTGCTAAAATCACTCTGACAACCGCAGCTCAGGCCCGGCCCAAGTCATTTTGGCAGACAGATGATCCTCCCTTATCTGCAATTGTCTTGGCAATAAATGTCCTTTTCTGAAGATGCCTGTTTAGATGACCCTAGGGGAAGCACAGGTACTCTCAGCAGGAGGTGGCCCAGAGGTCTGGAGTTCCACGGACTGAGCAGCTTGGGGGCCACTGCCAAGCTGGCTGCAAACCTGTGCCAGGCAGGGAAGGCCAGGACCCATCACGCAAGACGGGGTGTTCCGGAGAGCAGAAGTCTTGGGCTGGATCGAAGAAATAAGCATGGGCAGTCTTGAAAAGGTGAAGGAGGTCACAGGAGGCTGGATGAGATGGGAGGAAGTGGCCGTTGGTGCTGCTTCTTTAGGCAGAGGATGGCTCTCCGGGGACTGCTGCAGCCTGGCCGCTCAGGGACCGGAAAGGTGGCGTCCAAGACTGGGCCAATGACCGTGGCCGTGCCCCTCCCTCTTGGGCTCTGGAGCAGGGCTCGGGGACAGCACATGCCTGCTCTGCCCTGCTGTTCGGCCTTTTCTCTAGGTGCTCTTGCTTCCGCAGCACAAGCAGAGAGCAGGTCAGTGTGACAGCCCTGGGGCGGCCTCCCCGAGCTCAGTGTCCTGTGAGAACTCCGAGATCTTGCCAGCTGCCCCCAGCTCGCTGACCCTGGGCAAGCTGCTCAGGCTGCAAGGCCTCTCCCCGGCTCTCCTGCCTTTCAGCCTAAACTGCCCTTTCTTAGTTTTTTTTAAAGTAGCATTTTTAGTGGAGTATAATTGATAAATAAAATCGTATGTATATTTAAGATGTACAACATCACTTTTTTGTTTGATTTGTTGGAGATAGGGTCTCAGTATGAAGCCCAGGCTGGCCTTGAACTCGTGGCAATCCTCCTGCCTCAGCCTCCAGAGTGCTGGGATTACAGGTGTGTGCCACCATGTCTGGCGACACCATATTTTAAGAGTGGGTGTGGTGGCTGCCCAGCACTTGAGAGGTTGAAGCAGGAGGATCACTAAATTTGAGTCCAGCCTGGGCTACATAGTGAGTCTTTGTCTCAGAAAACCATACACACACACAAAAATCAAGTTTTGAGTATGAATTTCTTTTTTTGGTACTGGGGCTCGAACTCAGGTCCTTGTGCTTGCAAGGCAGGCAGTGGAACCACTGAGCTAAATCCCCGGCCCAAGTTTTGAGGTACATATGTGTTGTGAAATGATTACCACAACAAAGCTAATTAACATATTCATCACTTTGCATACTTAGAACAATTTTTAATTTCCTCCACTGAGAAACATTGTATAATCCTTTCTTAGTTTTGATTTGCATTTCTTTAATGATGAGCGGTGTTGAGTATCTTTTCATGTGCTTATGTCCATCTATATTTTCTCTGGAACTGTCTACTCAAGTCTCTGGTATTTTTTTTTTTTTTGACTCCCTAAGAGATTTGTCTTTTTTTGGCTCAGTGTTGAGGGTTTGTGTTTGCCAGGCAAGCGCTCTACCACTAGCTACATGCCCAGTCCATGTGCGTTTTACAGTTGGGTACCCCATGGTGCCTGGGGCCATGGAAGGTCCTGTGTCACCTTGTAGAGGTTATTTTGGCAGCAGTGAGGTGGGTGGAGGCCACTGGTAACTCAGTGTCCCAGCCCTGGCTGGGGTGGCCAGGTCCTCAGGGAGGAGGTAGCCCTGGGATGGGAAGGAAATGCCTGCAGGAGACGTGTCTAGTAGAGGTGCTAAAGTCACAGGGTGGGAAATGTCTCCAATGTGGGGCTGGAGGTCAGGTCTCTTCCTGTCTTTTGAATGATCCCAAGAGGGAGAAGCAAGCCACGTGGGTCCTAAAGTGTGGAGTAGGTGCTCATCCTGGCCTGTGGGAGGTGCGGGTGGAGATGCCAGGTATGCTGTTGGTCAGTGCGCTGGTCCACTCACTGTCCATGGCCGTACTGGAATAACGAGAAGGAGAGAGCTTATTGTGGAGGAGCAAGGTTGAGGGTCACATCTGGTGGTGGCCTCTGCTGGCAGAGACCTGGGCGGTGGAGGGTGTGCAGGGAGAGGAAGGGAGAAGCAAGGAGAACGGGTTTCTACATCTCTGTCTGTTCTCTGCCCCTTCTTCCAAAGCCACCGGTGTGCAATGCCAGGGCTCCCCACGAGGACCTTACCTGATTCTCACCTCCTGGGCCCAGCTCTAAACCCTGTAGCATACATTTTCTCAGTGCCATTGGCTGGTGACTTGGATTAAACTCCTACACGACTTTGGGGACAACCAAATCCAAACGGTAGCGTGGGGCGGCAGGTCTGGAGGGCCCTTGAGGACCAGCAAGGAGGCTGCTCAGCCACACTCCTGGGGAGGGGGGTCCCCTAAGGAGGGTGTTTGGGGGCAGTGGTGACCAGGTGGTCTGTGGAGTCTGCCAGAGCCTCAGAGAGGGTGCTCTGGAAAGCGCCCTGAGTTTTCTCCCCCAAACAGTGCCTGGGGCCCCTGAGGGGTTTCCCTGGAAGCAGGAAAAAGAGTTTTGTGGAAGGAGTAGTTCTGGGTATGGGCCATGGGAGGGAGCAGGCTGGGGAAGGGATCTGGGGGAGCTCTGCACAGCTTGGAGGAGCAAGGCGCTGGCAATCAGGGATGGAAGGTAAGATGGGTCCTGGAGGTGACGTCTCACAGCAGGAAGTCGTGATGGAAGCAGCTGGGATGGGAGCTCCATGAGGCATTTTGGGTGCTTCTCCATATGTAGGGGAAAGCTGACATTTTCACTGCTGAACTCAGAAGATCAGACCCTCCTAACCTTTCCTCCAAAAAGGGAATGCCAAAGGCCAGTTGTTATTTCTTGCTTTCTAATCCTGGCGTTTTTATGGGGCTGTAAATGAGGACAGCAGGGAATTAATTAAAAAGGTGGAGCCAAGACAAACTGCAGAGCCCTTGCCCATGTGTCACCTGCAGTCTAAAGGTGCTCGTGTTGCAATCTGTACTGCTCTGCTCCCCAGAGGGAGGCACAGCTGCCTGGGACATCAGGATGGGGAGTGGCTGGGGGGTCCACCCTCAGGAGCAGCTGGGATAACGGTCTCCTGCTAGAGCAGCTCAGGGACAGACAGTAGGTGACACAGGTGGCCACAGGTGGGTGCAGGTCGCTGGAGTGGCAGGGGGGACCTTGCTGGCCTCTGTCTTGCAGAAGCAGAAGGACCAGCTTGTTGCACAGAGACGGGAGTGGGCAGAGCTGTAGAAAGAGGCCGGCCAGCACCCCTCTGTGCAGAAGCTGCAGGAGAGAGCACCAAGCTCCAGTTCAGGAGCCGCCCCGCTGCATGTGAGATGTGTTTCCAGGCAATGAAAAGGCCCATGCAGCCCTTTCCGGGAAGAATCCCCACAAGTAAGGCAGCAAACAGTAATCCGGGTCTTTGGGGATTTCAGCGAGGCCTGGAAGGGTAGAAATGGAGATAAGGTCCGTTCCCATAACAAGGCTTTGGTGGAAGAGTGGTCCGCGGGAGACGGGCGAGGGTGGGTTGGTGAGTGGTTATCTAGCCTGGAACAACTGGCATTAGAGCCTCCAGCAGAGGCGGTGACTCACCAGCCACGACACTCCATGCAAGGATTCTTAAAACCTGCAAATTCAAGCTCAGTGACACCATGCTAAGTGAAATGAGCCACTTGCAAAAAGACAAATATTGTGTCTTTCCACTTCTACCAGGGGTCCTGGAGTATCAGAAGGTGGAAGGGGGCTGCCCTGAGTTGGGAGGTGATGAAGATGAACACAGACTTTGAGTTGGAGAAGAGAGGAGTTCTGGAAAAGGACAGTGCCACAGAACCAAACGCTAACAGCAGTTGAAATGGCACATTTGTATGTTGTGCATATTTACCACACTAT